ATAATAATCCTATCTCATTCTGAAAAAATTAGATAAAAATTACAATGCCATGCGTACAGTGAGAATTAAACTCGTACCGTAGGATCCATATCATCCAATGCAGCCTCGGATGTTGCAGATTTCTGACTCTGGGCGCTGGCTCTCTCTGCAGCCTGGACAACATGTATGCATGCACATTTGATAGTAAGACACAGGAAACAGAAAGCATAACCGAAAATTATTAAAAAACACGACTATGGATGGACGAAATGAGTCCAAACTAATTCCTTTTTGCCTAAAAGTAACTCCGCCAAGAAGCAGACACCAAAAACCCAAGAAGATACAACTTTAATAAGAATAAAGCACCTGTTTGGCCTTCTCTTCCTCTTTCCGGCGTCTCTCTTCCTCTCTCTGCTTGTTCTTCAATTCCTTCTTGCGAGCACTGCCCAAAGAAAACACACAAACCAATTACCAATTAGAAACATCAAAACAAGCGCAAACGACGTTAGAATTTGCTTTCGCAGAAGTAAGAGACTCACTTCTTGCTCATCGTTTCTGCTGGAGATTCGGCTTCAGAAGCAGAAAGCTGAGAGTCCATCGCTAAATTGGAGACTGCTTTGGTTGCTTCGTCAACAGAGCTTTCCATTTGTCCCTTGAGTCTTCGTTTCAAGGCAGGAGAAACTCAGCCGAAAATGGGAGAGAAAAAGGAGACAGATTAATAGGGTTTTATCTAGGGTTTTGTTTCGCTACGGTTTCACACAAGTTATTTGGCTTATTTTCACTCATTGTTCCTAATTATACCGTCCATTTCTTAATTGTGCTTAAACTTCAATTCTTTACTTAAAATTACATCTAACTCCTTGGAATGTCAAAATAGAAGATGACATGCGAACTCGCTTAACACGTAAAATAAATGGATTTGAATGGAGGTACTTCAATTAGTTACTCAAAAAGGAAATCAAAATAAGTCATAACAGGTGAATTCGGCTAACAGCGACATAAACGGATGGATCTTAGGCGAAATAAATGGGTTAGGATTGAGGTTGAAGGGCTTCGTGTCATAAACAAATCAATCATTTATAACACGAATATAAATATGCTGTGTTATGAATTGACACGTGGGTATGCGAGTGACCAGTTTATTTGAGTATAAGAGATAATTTTAATATTTATCTAAACTATATATAAATATAAGGAGAATAATGAGATTTTCTATAATATCCTTGAATTAATTTAGAATTCCTAATATATCTATTTAGTTAGATTTTTTATGCATTTTATTGGGGAAACCATTTATCCTTTTAAATATCATTATAGTTATATTTTTTATTGCCTTTAGTTGGAGAAAATAGATTTTATTTATCCTTTTGAATATCATTTTATTTATATTTTTATACATTTTAATTGGAGAAAATATGTGTATGTATTTTATCTATTTGATTATACATTATTATTGTCCAATAATTTTTCTAATTAATAGATTTTGATACTCTTAATTATAGGTCTCATATGATATTATTTTCTAGAAGGTAAATTGAAAATTTTAATTCAGACATTGAAATGAAATTTATACTTTTTAATTAATTACATTCTGAATTTTTTACAATATGGATAAAAACTTTACTATTAGACTCGATTAGCTAAATACAATGAAAATAAAATAAAAAATTTTAATATATTCTTTCTCTTTAATTTTTTTGGAGATGAATGTGTATACTTATTTGGACTATTTACACATTATTTGTAATTGACTAATATCTTATAAAAAGTTTTTCCTTTTTTAATCTAATGAAACCTTATTTAAAAAAAAAAAAAGACTCTATAAAAGTTTGATTAATGAAAAAATGACTATTTGGATCTATCATTTTCATTCCAATTTTCTATATTAAAAAGGAAATGATGGAAAAATTCAAGAGCTCTCTTTTTATTCAATATTTTATTTTTTTAATTATAAAATTTTATTTAATTTTTTATGATTTAATTATAAAAAATTTTATTAAATTTTATTTAATTTTTTATGATTTAATTTGATATATTTTTTTAAAAATAATTTTTAAAATAGATATAAAGATATTTAGACCTTTGAAATTTTAATTTTTAAATATATTTTATAAATAAAAATATAGAACTTTGAAATTTTTGAATTTAATCTCTTATATATTTATAAATTTGAGAGGATCTTCCATCACCAATATTATTGTTTGCACATTGATTTTTAAGTTATATATTAGTATTTATTTATGTCATTTTGAAGCTTTTTTAGCAAAGAGAAAATCTTAAAATAATTGGAATAAAAGTAATTGCATATTAAATATATAATTAGATATTGCAAAATTTTTAGTTACCTTTAAACATGTTTTTAATTTAATAATTAATAATAGTATTTTTTTTCAATAAGTTTGATTTTTTTTTCACTCATTTTGAAATGGTAGACTTTTATTTTTTTATTTTATAAAGTATATTGATTAAAAGGGAGAAAAACATTTTATATAGTTAATTTTAAATGAAGAAAAATACATGTTAATATTTATTATTTTTAATCAAAGTAAATATTAACATAATTTAAGAATAAAATTTATTTAAATAATATATTTATGCTCATGCCTGATACGTAGAATTACGAGTAAAATATTAAATATTAGTTTTTATATTAAAAATAAATATTTAAAAGAAAATTAAATTCAAAAGCAAATTTAAATTAAAGAGATGAAAATTTCATAAGCCTTTAACTCAAGTTGGATAACTTAAGAAAAAAAAAAAAAAAAAAAAAAAAAAAAAAAAAAAAAAAAAAAAAAACAGCACATACGTATGTTAGATAATGATTATTAATAGCGGACCAGTAAGTTAAAAAAAACATATAAAGGAGAAGTGCTATTTTAGAGTTAAAAAAATACATACGTTATTTTAAAAGGTGAAGTAGAAATATTATTTTCTTTTCAATTAGAAATTAAAATGCAAGACATGTAACAAAAAAATATTTATTGTATAATAAATAAAAGTGTAATATAAATTAACCATTGTTTTTATTTTAATCTTAAAGATCTTATACTTCCTAAAAAAAGTAAGAACTTATATTTTAATATCATATAAATAAATGAAAAGTGCTATTTTAGAGTTAAAAAAAAAGAAATATGTTATTTTAAAAGGAGAAGTAGAAATAATATTTTCTTTTCAATTAGATATTAAAGTGCAAGACATGTAATAAAAAAAATATTCATTGCATAATAAATAAAGTGCAATATAAATTAATCATTGTATTTATTTCAACGTAAAAGAACTTACACTTTCTAAAAAAAATAAAAACTTATATTTTAAGATTATATAAATAAAAAATGAATTGAATTAAAATAAGTATATAATGAGCAAAGTTCACGAGCAATGCACGTCATAAAATAACTAGTCAAATATAATTATCCCAACTAAAATCCTATTTAAACTTTATTATTATATTAAATTTTAATTATTTTAGTGATGAATATTGGAGAATCTATATATTTTATGTATAGAAATTTATTTTTAAATATGATTTGAGTTAAATATGGTAGAACTTAAAAATCTCATTAATAGGTTAAGTGAGTCGTATATAGGTCAATACGACCCACTCAACCTGTTATAATATTAAATAGGTTACATGGGTCGTATACGGGCAACACGACTCACTTAACATATTTATAATATTAGACGAATTACACGTATTGTATTCGTGTCACCTGCCTAATTTTCATGTTGATAAATGTGACACGATTATTAAATGAATCGTATTCTTGTTGATCCTAATTATGCCGCATGTTATGTGAATCCATATCTAACCAACACATCAACTCATTTTGACACTCTTGTCAACTCCTATTTGGATAACATAAAAGTCTATTTACCATTTGCCCGATAAATAACTGGTAATTTGCTAACCTGGAATTATTTTTTAGTAAATTAATTATCTATAATCTAACTATATATAAATATGAAAATAGGGGGCAATAATGAGATTACTTATAATAATCTTAGTGAAACTTTATAAATCCTAAAATATCCTTTTGGATAATTGATAACAATTTAAATTTATAAATAACTTGAGTTTTTAATAATTGATAAAAATTAGAATATTAAATTATTAATCAATTGTGTTTTTTTAATAATTTTTATTAATTGATTAAAATTAATTTATTAATTGATTAAAAAAAAATTTTATTGTAATATTATTGAATATAATAACTTGAGTTTTTAATAATTGATAAAAATTAGAATATTAAATTATTAATCAATTGTGTTTTTTTAATAATTTTTATTAATTGATTAAAAAAATTTATTGTAATATTATTGTAATATTATTTTTTTAGCAATCGGAGAAAATAAGTCCATTTATCCTTTTGAAAAATCATTTTTAGTTCTATTTTTTATGACTTTTAATAGGAAAAAATAGATTGCATTTATTCTTTTAAATATCTTTTAGTTAGATTTTTATGCATTTTAATTCAATAAAATATGCATATGTATGATCTTTACTTGATCTTATAGCATTATTGTCCAATGATTTTTATATTTAATAGATTTTAACATTTTTAATTATATGTTCTCACATGATATTGCTTTCTAGAACATAAACTGAAAACCTTAATTCAAGTGTTAAAAATAAAGCTTAAGTTCTTTTAATTTATTACATTCTAAATTTTAAAAAATATGGTTAAACACTTTACTATTAAACTCTATTAGTTAATTATAATGAAATTAAAATAAAAATTTTAAATATATTATTTATCTTTGATTTTTAGAGAGAACTGTGTACATTTATTTGGATTATTTGGACGTTATTGTATTTTAAAATTTTTTATAATTTTAATTTAATAAAAGCAGTGAAAGTATGGAATTATATAGTATTGGATGAATATCGAATAAGAGAGTTTTTTTTTTTTTTTTACTTTAATGAAATCTTTTTGAAAAAATAGGCTATAAAATTTGGATTAATGAACAAAATGACTATTTTGGTATATTTGCTATCATTTTCATTTTCAAGTTTTCTATATTAAAGATAAAATAGAGAGAAAATTTAATATTTTATTATTTTATTTTTGAAATTTATGAAAATTTTTTTAATCTTTCTATGACTTAATTGGATGTATTTTTTTAAATAATTTTTAAAATAGATAAAAGCTAATTATAACTTTGAGATTTTAATTTTTTTCAAATATTTTTAAAATAAAGATCTTGAAATTTTTAAATTTAATCTCATTTATATCATCTATAAATTTGAGAAAGAGTCCGTGAAGTATAACACATATCACATTATCATATCTAAAATTCTATCTGTAACGCAAAAATCTTCAACTATTATCTTTTTTTAACTTTCTCCCGCCTGCCACATAACTCTCTTTCCCCTCCTTTGCTTTCTCTCTCTTGCATCTCTCTCCTCCTTCTATCATTATCTACTACCACAACGATTCTGATTATATTATATGAAGCACAAACAACTTATGATCCTTCACGCTTAAATAGCTATTCACCAATATCTTGAACAATGAGAAATCTCGTAAAGAAAAATGAATATGGACATCAATAAGATTGAATTTGAGTATAGCAGGGTCAACTTGATGTTTACTATTCATTGCAAAAGTCATAATTCTTTTTCTTTGCACAACAAAAATTTAGAATCCCATTCATGAAGTTTAAGGCACTTGATAAACTCTCTGCCATTGATTTTTTTATGAAAAATCGATAAAGATCTTCGACCCAATCACCACTTGCTTGTAGTTTGTAATATGAGCAACTTGAGATCAGAATCGTTTCCAAACACGATCGAAA